AGTTTGCCTCAATCAAATGTAATGAAACTTATACACAATGCTTATTACTACATAATACAGATTTAGTATGAAATTTGGTGGTGACAGTTTTATCATTCTTGAGTTGTGTCCCTTTATAAACAAAAGTTGCTGAATTTTTCGTTTCCGTTCTCTAACTTTAGTTTGTCTCAACCAAATGTTATAAAACTTATACACTGCCGTTCTAGAGTTGTGCGTGTTTACAAATAGAAAAAATTGCTGAATTTTTGTTTCTGTTCTTTACTTAAGTTAGCCTGAACCAAATGTTATGAGACTTACACACAGTGCTTATTACCACCAAACTCAGATCAAGTTCAAATTTGGGTAGCATCACTTTTACCGTTCTTCAGTTATGTTCCTTTATAACTATATGAAATGCAAGCGGGGGCATCATCTGTGTCCACATGTGTCCACTATCCACACTTATTTACATAAATTGTCATCCTGCCTTTTTATTTACTGAAAACTCCTGTCCTGTCTTTTTTTTGCAAATTTCATCCTAGCCCTCCCCCCCCCCCCCCCCCCCCCCCCCCCCCCCCCCCCCCCCCAAAAAAATCAAATGGTAGCTCCCTTAATCATATATACAGGTAATCAGTGTTAGTAAGTATAAATTATTTTTTTTAATCCTATTGTCCGTCAAACCTTTCCTATCTTAAAAGAATTTAAATCAGTTTGTAGGAGTTATGAGCATCTGTATTGGAATCTGCCGGATCTGGTATATTATCGTTACTCAAAATAATATATCTTCATAGAAACAATTTCCACATTTAAACAAAATCTTTTACTAATGATACTGGAAAGATCCTGAACAAATTTTCAGTTTTATGTTGACAAACCCAAGTAAGAAATGACCACCTCAAAGGAACATAAATAAAACCATACAAATATTACTTGCATGCAGGTTCTCGGACACCATCTTGCATACTAAAATCACATTATGCAGAAATGCGCCTAATGTGGTCCTCTTATTTTGAGTTTTTGCTGCTATCCAAAATGAAATTTTGGAACTTATTTTATCGGAATCATTTGGCAATCCTTCCAATCTTCCACTTCTTTACGTAAATCTCTCCAGCGTTGGAGCACACTCAACTAGCTGTGTTCCCTTATTGGATCATTTTTAAACATGTTAAATGTTGAAAGGAAATCCTCCAATGAAACGTTGCACACATGCACAATTTTTTTTTACAGGAATTTTAATATTATATACACGAAGCACTCATAGTACGTTGGCCAGTATGTAGATTTGATATTAAATGTCTAGCTAAATAAAATCTATGATCAGTCGGCACTGATTTAAAGTAGTGTCTCCTCCATGAAAGTCGAACATTAAAACTGAATATTAAATAAGACACTGCTATTTTCAGTGTTTGGTACAGATTGGATGTCACTGTGCACAACTGTTCAACATAGAACCCTATGGGGAAAAACCAGAGAACTCTTTTTTGTCAGAAAACACTGTCAAACATCCAAACATACTATCCACACTGATCTGTTTCCATACTTGTTTAACAGTAAATATCTCTTAAAATGCATGAAACCAATATCATACACGTCCTTAGTCCTTTTAGATATAGATGTCGTCCATAGTTGTTCGACAGTTTGTTTTAACACCATATTACATCTGAGATTTTGGGACACGGTTCCGGAAGGGGGTCTGCATGTGGTGCCAGGCTTCTGAATCGTTGTATTTGAAATCGAGATAAGGCATCACTTATATCGTTTTGAAAACCTGGCACGTGTTTTGCACTAAAAATGAAGTTGTTTGTAAACAAAAGTTGCGCACCATGTTAATTTTCTCATTAACTTCATAATATATATAAACATTTTGATCTGCCTTTCATTATAATCTCGACTGTAGACATATTATCAGACCAAAATAACACTTTTTTTGTTTTCCATGAGGCGCCCCATAAAACAGCTGCCACAACGATTGGGTACAATTCAAGAAATGCCATTGAATGTTTACTGTTTGTGATGTTTTTTTATTTCGGTCGGCCATGACGAATAAAACCACTCTCCACCAAAATATCCACCAAAACCTATAGTCGACGACGCATCCGTGAATAATTCCTTATCGTAATTAGATATAAATGTAGAATTATAAAACATATTAATGCCATTCCAATTCTTTAGGAATTGTATCCAAAATTCGAGATCTATCCGACATTCTTTATTTAAACGCACATAATAATGTAATTATTTCGCTTTGGTTGATAAATTGATTAGATAAGACACAAATGACCTGCCCGGTAGTATAACTCTTGAGGCCAAATTTAAATGCCCAAGCAGCTGTAGAACTTCCCTTTTAGAACAAGAGGATTTGACACTTATACTTGAAATAAACTCACAAATTCGATCAACTTTTTCCTGCGGTAAACGAGCTTCCATTTTTTGTGAATCGAGAATGATGCCAAGATATTCAAGACACGTTACAGGTTCAACAGTTTTGTGCATTGCTATTGGAACATTCAAGCGTTTAAAAATCATCATCATTAATGCCATTGACCGCTCTCCGTCAGCATGTGGCGGATCTATAGTTAAGAAATCGTCTAACAGGTGTGAAATGTTATTGACCTTGTAATTGTTTGTGGCAATATAACATATTGCTTGTGACAAAGTATCGAATATAATGGGACTAGATCGGCAACCGAAAGTTAATCGCACATAGAAATAATATTTTTCCTCCCATTTAATGAAAAACAAAGGCCATTATGGAGCTAAAATAGGACAATTTTTGAATGCATTGGAAATATCGTACTTACCATGCTTACATAACCAAGAGTTTGTCCCGTATTTCAAGATAATATCTATAGCGTTGTCGATCTTGACGTACGACATAGAGCAGATGTCTTTGTCAATTAATTCATTGATGCTAAAATGAATATCACTTTGATGAGGTGCCGATAAATCCAATATCAGTCGTTTTTTCTTTGAATATTTTCCTTCCGCAACTCCCAACGGACTGACACGGTAACTTGAAAATGGAAGTGTATGAAAAGGCCCGTACATAAATCCATTATTCACATTCCTTCCTTAACAATTTATTTACTACGTTCGGTAGTGATCGTGCAGACAAATTATTACGACATTCAAAGGTTGGTAAACTAGTCACAGAAACCTTAGTGTCAAAACCATATTTTAAACCATTGCATAAGTAAAATACAAAAGATTTGTCACTGTGATTTCTAAGTTCATTTTGTAATACTTCTACGTTAATCGGAGTAGGATCATGTAGGGGGAAGTTAATATTTGATAGTAATTTTTCGGAACCCAAACTCTGCTTTGGTGCAGTAGTACCAGTCTTAGCAACAGTGTTTTAAATGCGTGGTTCTTTCTAATTTTTTCAGTATCGTTATGCGTAGATTGACGATAACAGGCGGTTAAGCTATGATCATGGTTACGATAGTTAGAGCACATGTGTAAGAAGAGGCGTCGACCGTCTTTATTACAGCCAGACATACTATTGAAATTATTGCAAATTTCTTTTCCGTTGTGATAAAAACGTTTCCTACCACGAATATCGGAATTACCGCCATTTCTCATCAGATGTGGGGTAGATACGCTTTTCTCTGATAATGGCAATGGACAGAATTTTGTGTCATGGTCAACCATGTGACAAAGCTTGCAAATATTTATTTCAACGCTCGCACCTATCAAGATTATCAGGTCGCGATCCCTTTTACTCCAATCGACTTTAATTTGTTTCTCTTGAAGAAGAGTCGAGGCTTTTGCCGAGAATAATTTATGGTAGTCGTAGAACTTCTGACCATAAAAATTACTGATCTCTATGATATCCTCCTCGTAGGCGTCTAATTCAAATTTCCTACCTGGAAAAGCAGATGTCATAACACGCTTGAATTTCTCGAAGGCCTTTATGAATTCCTGGATTGTTAGTTGTCGATTTAAGCGCGGGTCTGGTTTATTCCCTACATTAGTTTTCATACCGTCTGCCAAAATGGTATGTGATTGGGGACTCTCGAAACAAGGAATAAGGAGAAAAACCAAGTTAATGTCCTTACCGTGTATTACTTGTTTCTGTAACGCTGTAGAAACTATGTCAACATTGAGAAAATCATCAGAATGAACTCCTGTTCTATTAAATCCATGATGTAACGCATCCGGTGTGTTTTGTATCGACAGTGCGGTATTACTGGAATTGTACCATTGATGAAGATTTAACGGTTTGTTAGTATCATGCAGCTTCTTTGTCATCAGCGTATCGATGGATTTCTGAAGGCCATTCACTCATTGTGACATAGTGTTAAAGCAGCCACCAATATATTAGTGTTAAAATTTCCCGTAGCAGAAGAAGTATTGTCAATGCCATCACGGTTTTGCGTCTCTGTTGAAACAGTTTGCGTATCAGATTGAAAACTGTCTGTTGCACTTAAAGTATTATCGATGGCTTCTACGCGAGCTTCACTGTATTTGTTACCAATGTTTTCTGTATACAGAGTTTTAACAACGTTTAAAGTGAGATTTGTAGGCACTTTGAAACCAATTCTAGACAGTTCGTTCACCATTTCGGTTTTTGTTCTCTCAGAATTAGTTTTTGTAACAGCATTTTCAGTACTATATGGCTGGAAACGGGATTTCCGTTTCGTCGGATTCAGTTTGTTACTTAGAGGCATAACTTATATCTTTTTAAACAGTGTTTTGAGAATAAGTTTTAAAAGCTGTTGCCACAAGGAGCAATTACTAAGACTGTGATTCAACTTGTGTTTCACGTGACACATTTATTACTAGTATTACACTGCAAGCACGCAACTTTATCTAACCTATATGTTTTGTGAACTCTTAACCGATATTTAATGTCGAGTAACGGGTTATGCAGAAACGGGTTAAGAAAAGTCATCAGCACCATTTAACAGCTGGGAATAATCAACTCGTCTATAAACCATGATTATACAATTCTATAATCTACCACTAAATATATTGCCAGGGAAGACCCAGAGGTAGGTTTAAAAAAAACAGTGGAGAAATTGACAGTTATAACGTCATTTAGTTTATAGATACATATATATAATTATATACATAAATGGATACATGCAATAGAGCACCTATAATTATATACATAAATAGATAGAGCACCTATCTTTTTATAAGAACACATTTACTATGTTTAGAATTAGTAGCTTTATCTTCTTTCAAAAATCTGTGTGCAATTGCATTTGTTTCAATTTAGCACTCTAACATGGCACTGTACAACCGTTCATATAATACTCTGGAAAAAAAATGTAAGTATAATTTCCATTTGATATCCATTGATAAAATTGTTTGGTATCGCAATCTTGTCGTTTTAACGTTTGCATTTGAAAATTTTACTATATCTTACAGTTTCTGTATTTAGCAATAACATTGTTTTACATAGTATGACAGTAACAAGTTAGATTTTTTCGTTCATAGGCTATAATTTGTTGATATTGCTGTATTTTGTTGTTTTGTTGTTGTTCAAAGCACAGATGTAACGAAATTGGTATATAGTCCTTTCGAATTGATTGTACTATTCATAAGGTATTTCCATCCAAATTTGTATGTGCAAATTGGGTTCTAAATCTTTGAATTATTTCTGGGTTTTGTTTAGCATTTGTTCGATTTTTTTTTTATCGTTTTTCTCTGTAATTTGTGATATTACAAAGCAGATGGGTTCCTCAATGTGTAGATGAGGCTTGATTAACATATAGCAAAGAATTCAGTTCACAACTGCGCCAGACGCCGCCTTCAACTTGTAGCGAGATGTTAGGTTTTTTATCCGAGTTAAAGACGTCTTTGAGAACGACAGAAAAAACGCTTTTCATTTGCTTAAGGTTTTATCAAGTGTGCGCTTTAGATTATGTAGGGATTAGTCATGTTTTTGTCACCATATCACTTCTTCCCACGCTTAAAATATGAAACACAACACAACCAAGAAAAAGCTAAATAAATGTTGTATTAGGATTTCTTTTCAAAAAAAGTGGTAGGGGAAGTTAATAGACTTTTAGAATGAATAAAAGTGTTCTAAAGGTCATTGAGATAATAAAAAAAATATAAAAAAGACATTGTCACATTAAAAGTCATCATAAGATTTAAACAAAAGAAAAATGCATACTTTTAAAAATGAAATGTTTTAAATCACCTCAAGTTAGAAAAAGTACTTAATAAAAATAAGGTTTATGAAAGATCTGCAATCAACATCAAACCTTTAATTGACAAAAACGCAGAGATATAACTACACACAACCAGTGATGAAATTCTTGACTGTGAACAGGAAACCTAAGGCAGTGTTAAGCTACTTTTTTAATATCTCAATTCCCCCTTATTCTAGATTAGTGGAATCACAAAAAGTATACAAAAAGTAAAATAACAAAACAATCGAACTCTAAGGAAAATTCAAAACGGAAATTCCCTTAACAAATGGAAAATTCAAAAGCTCAAACCGTCAAACGAATGGAAAACCACAATACTACGTACACGCAAAAAAGTATCAGAGTCATCACAATATTTCCCAAACAGGTCAAAAATCACACTTTATGGAAATTATTTTATTAGAATATTGGTCTATATTGAAATATGTTACAAACCGAAGATATTTTTAAGAGATTTCGATGAATAGACTATCCATTTGGTGCTACGAGTAATAGGGACGATAAAAAATGATAGAAAATATAAAATACTTAAAAAAACGTACACGGTCAACTTTGACTAATTTAGTTTTGTATCATCTGTTTCCAATTTACTGAAAATATTCGGGGTTTTTTAAACAACAAACAAATGTCCATAAATAAACTTTACCTGTAAAAGTAACATCCTTGTTCAATTCATATAGTACGAGTTCTGGTGTTAATCTCTTCCTGTAGTCAACGTCAAGAAGACCTATCAATGTTGTGAGTATGTTTGGTGGTACTTTATCAACTTTGTCCGACAACTGGCGATTAACCTAGTTTAAAATAAATGAACTGCTTTAATAAAAATCAAAAAAGGTTTCTCCCACTGACTCTGTCAATCTAAAATATTCTACAAGTATGAGTTACCTAAGATCGCATAGGGATAATGTGGTATAGTAAAACTTTCATAGTACATGCTTGTTACTAACGATTTGACCACTTCCTGAAATCCCAAGAACTGAGTCTTACTTGTTTCAAATACATGACAACATCCCTAATCCACACGAGCTAAGTTTATTTGTTACTGGCTATATGACAACTTCTCGAAACCTCGCAAACTAAGTCTTACTTGTCACTAGCTATATGACAACTTTCTGAAACTATACGAATTAAATCATACTTATTATTAGCTAAATAACAACTTCCTGACAACACACTTACTTATTCTTACTTGTTACTAGTTATATGAAAACTTCCGGAAACCATACGAACTAAGACTTTCTTGTTATTGGCTATATGTCAACTTCCTGAAACTCCACGAACTACGCCCTACTTTTTACTAGCTAATTGACAGCTTCGTGAAACCTAACAAACAAAGTCTTGCTTGTAACAAGCAATAGCTATATGACAACGTTCTGCAACCTTACGAAATAAGCCTTACTTGTTACTAGCTATAACTTTATGACAATTTCCTGAAACCCAAAAATCTAAGTCTAAAGATGAAAGAATGGATAAACATCAAGAAATACAATCCAGTAACTTCAATTCAAAATTACCAACTTTAACATTGTGCATTTGTTTAGTACTCTATATTCTTGTCATTTACGTGAATAAATGAATTAAAGAATTGATTATTATTTAACTAATTAATTAACTAATTAACTAATTGCATCTGTTTACAGTTATTTTCAAATATGTTGTCCAGATAACTCATAAAATGCAAAAATCTCACATAAAAAATATATATTGCACTTACATATTGTTTCATTTTCTCTCTGGTAAAGTTTAGATTGTCCTGAGTGACTTTGCCAATTATGTGTAGGTTCTTTCTGGTCAGTAAATTGAAAAGTATCATACCAAGCTGCCAGCTGTCCCATGCAACAAGAAGACGTTTTACCTGTTCATCAAACTTCACAGGTAGATATCTGTTTAGCATGCTCTGTTCAAGATCTGGAGGACCGAGACATGCAGTAATAGGTCCTAAAAAGGAAGCATTTTGTTAGTATTGTATTATTATATATCGTAATTTGAAGAAACAATAATTGTTCTAGTACATGAACCAAATAACATTGCTATCAACATTAACCAAACTAACTTTTCTTTGTTACGATATTTATAAATTTTCAACGAAAAACGATAACAATTTGTCTTTAATACCCAATCAGCTAGTCAGTTTGTAATTCCAGTCCATCATTGTATTGACTTTAGATTTGACTATATTTAAATGTTTCTTGTATTGCTGATTCAATAAATAAAGCATACTTAAATGGTTTTTGTCTAATTTCTGCATGATTGTTGAGCCAAAGTCTATTATAACGACAGATGAGGGGTCTTTGGGGTCCCGTACCATAACATTAGACACTGAAATATAGAAATTTTATCAAATAATGGCCAATGAATGTTTCATATTAAATTTAATGTGTAACAAAATTTTAACAAAGAAAAACACATCAACCTCAGTATATAGACCCTCCTTATCCTGCCATAAACAATGAACCTGATAGATTGCCTTATGTATATATTTATGTATTTGTCTGCTAGAGATTTAGGGATTGATCATGACAGCTATTTTCAGACTCATAATTTATAGGTGATATCAGTCAACATTCGATTTTTACAACAACAGATAAAGTAAGTTTCTATACTATGTCGAGCTTTAAATCGACCTGCGTATAAACAAGCCGTCAACACACTAAACAGACATAAGCAGCACGGTGACTTTTTCAAAAAATTGTATAACAGAGCGAATCCGTGTTTTTCATTTTGTACATATATACGTTAAAACAGCATAAAAAGTTGTCATTAGAATGGACTGTTGTTCCCTATAAATCGTATAAGGACACGAGTACACAATGTATTTATATTCATAAAAATGGTTTTCATGAAAGTGATATTCTATTTAACGTTTGGAATAATTTGATGCTTCATAAAAGAAACATAATGAAAACCAATCTAAAAGGTTGAGGATACTTTTGATATTTGCAGTCGCGAAATTGGTAATTCATTCCAAGGAAGAATGCCCGAAAGCCGACGAAGAGTGTATGTCGACGAAAACAAAATGTATTGCATTTTTCAAATGAAACATTGATCAATCAAATAGTTGTGTATCAATGAACGAGTAGGATCGCGAACTGATGACCACAGTTGGATACGGTGGACTTAAATTGCATTTATTTTGCAACTGCTAAGCAATACTTTATCTTCATCAAAAAAGAAATATTATATTAGAATGCCTCTTCTATTCTTTTTTTAAATACTACTGCACACTATACATCAACACAGATAAAACAAAGGCACAACATGGTAGAGCACTCATGCGTCGTCAATACCAACGTTAAGATGTTTTTAAAGTCCGCATTCCAAAAACATATTTACAGTAAATGTTCAATTCATACAAATGCGGATCTTTTATTGGCTGAAAGATTAATCATTTGATACATTCATGTTACCAATGTGTATGAAAACAACCTAAGATTTATAATTAGTAGCTCCGCCAACCTAATAAATTCCACACTATTTTAACACATTGTTTATGAACTTCGTGCAATCGGTTACGTATTGAAAAGATCGCAATTTTATTAATTTGAAAAGTAATTGACAATATATATATTGTAAATATGAATTATTGATAGAAATATGTCAACATGAGTTATAATGCTATAAAAGTTTAATAGTTATTGAAATTTGATAAAAAAAATTAAGGGCTGTCTATTTTGAAATCGACATCTTTATTTTGCAAATTTCGGCTATAATTGACTACTGCTTTCATCTGACGACACAGTTTCGTTCGAAGTTATTTTCAGATTCGAAATGTTAATAGCATATGTAAGTATAATTTTGAAGATCTGTAAAAATAAGAATAAAATAATATGTTTTTGAAAGTTTATGCGAAATGAAGGCAAGTGACGATCAAATTTTCATGCAATGAGCACTTCTGCGTTTCGTGCAAAATGTGAAGAATGCTTCCTTGCATTTCGTCAAAAAGGTTCATAAAAATCGCATTCATTCCTTGAATGGTGACCGGTAGAGCGATAAAGCAAAATGATTTTGCTTAAACTAGTATGTATGGCAAACAGATGAAAAATGACAATAAAATCGCTCAAGCAGCAATGACTATCATAAAACAGTTTATATTATGATGTTATTCGTAGAAGCCTTTTTAGTTTTTCATACATATCTTACATATGATATTTTCCATCTACAGTTAAAGAAAAACAATCTCTTACAAACAAGAAAATAGGATTTATCACACAAGTATGTCAAAAAACCTAGTCAGTTAATGGTTTTTCATTTCGTATTTTTCATGCTTAAATTTCCATCTTTATATATTTTCACACGATATGAAAGGTTATGTTTCAAACTCATTCGTATTGATATTGCAATTGTTCATTCATATGGCTTATGTCAAATCCGAATTTAAAAATCGTTTCACGCATTTCCAAAATGAAACTATTCACTACCTTAGTTTTTTCGCCAGATATATCAACTGAACTTCTGCGTCAGACATATTGACACGTATCGTGCGGACTGCCTCAAACAATTTTTGATGCGTCAAATATTAAGTTGTTTACACATATTTATAAGAATTGTAACCTAGCAAATATTAATAATCGATTTGTTCAATAAAACGAAAAGTCAGATTTTCCAAGAAAGGACTAGAATTCAATTATAGATGAAAGACAGTAATTTACTGGGAAAATAAAAATATCAACAATTTTGGATGGATTCAGGTAAAAGGACACAGGGCAATGGCTAGACCCCCCTGAACTCTCAATTTTCATAAAAATAACTATCTATCAGCATAATTTTATGAAGAGTGAGAGATCAGGGGGTTTAGCCATCGCCCTGTGCCCTTTTAACTGAATTTTCGACGATTTTTAGCTGAAAAGTGACAATGTAAGCCCTCCGTAGATATTAAAGATAACATTATTCTGTGAAATCCTTTTCATACGATCTGTATATATACATAGTCTAACATGTCATTCAATTTTATGGCCATTGAAAGACCAGGGGGGTCCCACCGTTATTTAAGTGGTCTTTTTTCACTATATATTTTGAATATCAAACTGGCACTTTGAGCGCTCCGTAAACATAGAAGACAAGACGTCTACCCAAATTTCTATTGGGGTCATTTGTATCTTTATATTAAGTAACTATCTGCATAATTTTATGAAGATTGAGAGATCAGAGTGGTCTAGCCATCGCCCTGTGTCCTTTTACCTGAGTTTTCGACGATTTTTAGCTGAAAAGTGACAATTTCTTTTTTTTTTTTTTTTTTTGGCTTTCCATAATTATTTCTATTTTTAACTAATGTTACTAAAGTGATCGTTTGTTTTTGTTTCTAGAAATATTAAGTATATAGATACATCTTTGATTGCATTTTATTGATAAAAATCTATATTTCATAAAGACAAATGTGCAATTGACATAAGTGTTTATATTTGAGGACAACGGGAATTTACGAGAGCTTAAAGGGGTCATAAAACGATTTCCTAAATATCTTTTTACTCCTTTTATCTATGACTATCATGTTTTATATGTTATCGAATATTCAGATTTTTATCATTTTCAACTAAGAAATTTGAGTATTGAACCGACTGTTAGCAGCCGGTTGGTTTTGAATATCGAATAACGAATAACGAACCGTCCGCTAACTTAATTCACATTCATCAACTTTGGTACTTTTAAAAATGAAAAACAAAATTCTAAGTATACTTTACATTTCAAATCTTGATGGAATATGTCTTCCTTGTGCAACTGGCATACTTTTGCAACCAATGAGTGGAACAATTGTATTTTATCATACAAGTTTCCTCTGTAAGCAGTCAACACAACCCCTGAAAATAAGTACAAGTCCATTATGCTTTACCAAATAAAGTAATAATTGCTAAATACATATGGTTTTTTAAAACAATATATAATTCAGTACTCGGAATACCACTCGTGTAATTCTATTTTGTAGGAAATTTTTTTTTTTATTTCCGTTCACGTTTGCATGCAAAAAAGTGTGTGTTTCTTTCTATTTTTATACTTTTATTCAGTTTACTACTCATTTTTGGGGTTGAAATATGATTTTTTTAATGAATAAGAATTAATGGCGAACATTTAACAAATTGTATAACAATTCCGACTTACTAACCATCTATCATTTCCAATAACAATGCTAAGTTGTCATCGTGTGCTAGTACTCCATACACCATGGGAACAAATCCCTTCTTTTGCAACCTCAGTAGTGCTTGTACTTCTTCGTTTCTCCATTTCTTCTTCGGAATCTAATTTTTTTGATAAAAGGCGTATTATTTAGATGGGACATTTAACTACCTCCATCAATGATATTGAAGTACAGATTGTAAAAATATTATAATTTTGTGGAAATATTTTTCGGTAACATTGAGTGATTTTGAAAAATATAAAATACTCGACCGGGAAATAAATATGTATTTTATCTTAGAAAGAGAAGAATCAATTACCTATCTGTTGAATGTTCTTACTAAATGTCTTTGTCACAGCTATTGTACCAATTTTATTGTACAGGTCAGATTTGGTGGTATGAAAATTTTGCGTAACAAAATCAATGGTTCTAAAATTTGCAGAGTAATTTAACGTTTGAAACAATCCGACTCCAGCTTTTCTCACTTTTTGCTGTTAATTTTTCAAAATATTTATTTTCAAATTTTAATAACTATGGTTCGAATTTTTATATATTTGTGGTCAATGTACATGTGTGTTTTCAAATCAAATATTGCGAGTGCAAAAGGTGGAACAAAAACAAAAAGATCAGTTCACAAAACTGAATCTGTCACAGACTTTATCTAAATTGATACAGAATTGTACCCCTCTTCTTGCCGACTTGTTTCTTTATTATTATGAGGCTGACTTCAAACAGGAACTTCTTAGGAAGAAAGATAAGAAGTTAGCAATATCCTTTAACTTTACGTTCCGCTATATAGATGATGTTCTCTCACTAAATAATACAAAATTTGGTGACTATGTTGAACGAATCTATCCCATCGAACTAGAGATAAAGGATACTACAGATACAGTTAAGTCTACCTCATATCTTGACTTACATCTAGAAATTGACAATGAGGGTCGGTTGAAAACAAAACTTTACGACAAAAGAGATGGTTTCAGCTTCCCAATTGTGAACTTTCCATTTCTATGTAGCAACATTCCAGCAGCGCCTGCATACGGAGTATATATCTCCCAATTGAAACGATATTCCCACGCTTGTATTTCCTATCATGATTTCCTTGATAGAGGATTGCTGCTCACAAGGAAGCTATTAAACCAAGAGTTCCAAATGGTGAAGTCGAAATCATCCCTTCGTAAATTTTACGGACGCCATCACGAGTTGGTTGACCGTTATGGAATAACCGTTTCACAGATGATATCGGATATGTTCCTTATGTCGTAAGTACAATACCCTTTCCTTTTCACGAATGTGACCTACCGAATTAGACTATTTACCGGGTTTGTAATAACATAAGCAACATGACGGGTGCCACATGTGGAACAGGATCTGCTTACCCTTCCGGAGCACCTGAAATCACCCCCAGTTTTTGGTGGGGTTCGTGTTGCTTAGACTTTAGTTTTCTATGTTGTATCATCTGTACTATTATTTGTCTGTTTGTCTTTTTATTTTTGGCCATGGCGTTGTTAGTTTGTTTTCGATCTATGAGTTTGAATGTCCCTCTGATATCTTTCGCCTCTCTTTTTTAAGACTAATTTGAAATTTTAGAACTATTACAAATGTTACAAATGAATATACTGCAAATCAAAACGGGGTAGTCATTGATGATCAAGTGGGAAGGGAAGATGTCGATATTTGTCTCCAAGCGGCAGTATTTTTCTTCTTTAACCGAAATGATATCTTTGATAAATATTACCATTTTATGTACGTAATAATCCTAAAAAGTACAAATCATTCTTTTTATGTAGCTCAAACAACTTATGCTTTTTTCAACTTTAAAAACAACTTTATTACACTTTTGTTGCTTGAACAAGTTACTCGATTTAAAGCTTTTATCCGAGTTTCTATGTTATTGGTTAATTTACTGCCAGGGGGAATGTTCCTTTAAAAAATTCTTTACATAATACAATATAATTGAATGTTATAATGACACAATTTATTGACTTATTGTATCGGAGAAGTAAACAAGTTGGATGTGTACTGATTGACAATTTAGTGTTGAAAAACATGATTTATTTACCAGCTGATTTTCAACTCGCTTTCAGTAACTGAAACTATTCTTAGGTCGGTACATTGTGTCTTATCTCTATTTTCTTATTTTTTTTTTACATTTTGTTAGTAACCTTTTGTGTTTTGTGCTGATGTGATGAGTCAAGCCCTTTCCAACTAATTTTAACAGTTTTGTCTTATGTTGAGCTGTTACATCACTTCCCCGGGTTTGTGAAGAGGCCTAGTGCTCACAAACATGTTTATTAACCCCGCCACATTTTATAAGTGCCTGTCCAGGTCAGGAGCCAGTGATTCAGAGGTAGTCGTTGATTGCTGTTATTTTGTTCGTTTTTTCATTGCATTATCATAAATCAAACAGTTGGTTTACTCGTTTGGATTGTTTTTACATTTTCACATGTCGGGTCCTGTTATAGCTCACAGTAAAGTATAGGTTATACTCATTGTTGAAGGCCATACGAAGACATATAGTTGCTTATTTCTACTTAATTTGATCTCTGTTGGATAGTTGTCTCATTGGAAATTATACCACCTCTCCTTATTGAAGAAAATAATGCAACAACGGTTGTTGTAAATATCTACGATTGGTTATTTCATCATGTTTTCATGTGAATTTTACACATTTGTACACTTACAAAACATATATATTTTTTTTTAACTTTTGCTGGTGAAAATTAGTCATCCACTTTAAAGATTTTTCACTTACATTTAAAAGCAAATGTACTTAGCAATTTTGTCTGTGACTAGGACTTGTACTTTGTTAGAAAAAGAAATGCATTCATTCGTTTAAAATCAATAATGAACATAAATCACATTTATTTTGAATATTATGTTATTTATTTGGAAAACGTTTTCAAAATATTGAATGAGTATAGGGGAGAAATATCATAAAAATACTGTTCATCGTGATCTGGTTTCGAATTCTATTATCCATTTTGATTAAACACAGGAACGTTTGTCTTGTGTACTTTGGGAAATAATAAACAAAAATTGTACCGTTTTTCTTGCTAAAGTCAAAGAACATACACCATCAGTAATTCCGTCACATTGAACTATTCCAATTCCACCCGATGCGACATCATATTTGCGTTGAAAGATCAGTTTTTCTTTCCATATATAAGATATCTGTTGTAAGACAACATCATATAAATGTGTATATAAAATTTACAAAAATGTGGTAGCAGGATAATGATTGCATACATGTTCAATGTTAGCAACTTTTTTATAATTACACATATTTCATCTATTTTTATTTACGTCGTGTATGTTTATTAATCAATTTTATACCTTCTTTGTATTCGACTTGCTCTATTTTGTATTGGTTTATTTTTAACTTTGTTCATCACTCTTCGTGTAAAGCTTCCAAGTAACCTGATATCAGAAATAGTTTTTGTTTTCATTATTATATGACAAATGGTCTAATTCGATGTCGACATGGACTTACCCATTCTGGAAGTATAAGGATACACTTTTTAAGACAAGACTCTTTTTTGTCTAAAATATCTGTGAAAATATTTTCTTAATTTCCAAACTCTATCCATGGTTTCCAATCAATCTGAAGACAATCATTATAAGCGTCTTTATATAATCCAAACTCTAGTTCATCACGACTTCCAAACAAATTAACCAACATCTGAATCAACTGTATAACACTCCCAAAAAATGGAGTCGGTGATTCTCTCTGATCAGTTACATCTTCAACCAGACAACATCTGGTTTCTCCGGATACTTGTTCATAGGTTCTCTTAGTTTCGTCTTTAGCATTTCCAGGGTCTGCTTTATTATCTGATCCGTTACTACAAGTGCCTCCTTCAATACAGTTTATGTTGCCATCTTGTTTTTCAATCTGTTCATCATCTTTTTCATCAAATTCCTCAAGATCTGCAGTTTGTGTACCTTGATCGTGCAATTTCGGTAGATCTTGTCCTTGTTTGTAACAACTACCTTGCCGAATGACAACTTGAGCTGCACTTCGACTTGCGTGATTTTTGCATTCGTTATTATTATTTGATTCAGGGCGCTCTTGGTGTTCTTTGTTCATTGTTTGCTTCAATGAAAATGTGTTCACAAACATTCTTTATTACTTTGACGTAACACGATCTGAAAAATGGGATGGAATCCTTCAGTTATTTTTTTTTTTTTTTTGAATTTTAAAATAAAGGAATTGCAAAGCTAAAATTGCAAAACTAAACTGCCGAGCAGGATCTACGTATAACTGTGTTTCAAGGATAGAGATTTAAAAGAGGATGTTTTAAAATATTTTAAGGCTGCCATATGCCATTATATCTGTCTATGTTAGGAACCAAATTTTCAGTGGTTGCTTGTTGTCAAATCATTAGAGTTAATGTCCTTATAAGATTTTAAAACTATGATACTATCTTTATGCACTAAATCTTTCAATAAAGTGCTTTCAATGTACAGGATGTAATTCAAATACTTTTTAGTAAACAATGTGTTTTGCATTTTATTTTACAACTCAGTTGTAATTCTGACCGAACTTACTTTAAGTTTATATTTTAGTAATTTCTCTTTAATCATCATATATCGTATCTATAGATTTTTTTTTTAATGATTTAAAAGTACTTTAAAAAACAGCATTTCACCTTGGGTCCAGGTGAATAGTTATGGTCATTTGAAAAACACTTGCATCATTCATATTACATTATTTATATTAACCAAAATTAAGGACACTCTTTTGTTATTGTTCTATTGTTAAAGTACAAAAGAACTCGCGGGAGTTTCTCGCTGCATTGAAGACCCATTGGTGGCCTTCGGCTGTTGTCTGCTCTATGGTCGTGTTGTTGTCTCTTTGACACATTCCCCATTTCCATTCTCAATTGTATCTATTTTCTGACCAATACTTAAACTTGAAAAGTAGAGTTACTTGTTCAAAATCTGTGAGTATTGATTATTGTGGGTCATTTAATGCCTTTTAATTGCATTTTACATATCATGATAGTTCTTTTTTGATATAATAAAATCCAATCTGCCTGCCTTTTATAAAAAAAAATAGACTATGCTTGGCATTTTATCTTCTATTACTCTCTCTTGTTCACACCAAAATCTGATGTAGAATAATTTTTGTAAAATATTTCACATAAGAGCTGAAATTCTTTCTATCTTAATGTTCATCATAACAAATGGATAAAAACGTTTGTGTTTTAACATAAATATTTACTCTGATTACAGACAAACCAGTGCAGTTGGAAAAGTTTTAAGGCCTATTTTCTATTAGATATGTAAAAGTAATTAGCATTTTGTGTTTCAGAAAGATAAAAATATTTTTTTCGGATTTTGGTGATCATTGTTCTTCGTTCCTGCAAAAGGTGTAAAAATAAACTTAGTTAAGATTCCCCCGCATAGATAACAGTTGTTTTATACTGAATTGATTCATATTGGTAATATGACAATAGATATCTACATTTTACGATCATCTTCAGTGATGAAAAAAAAACAAATGCTCTTCAAAATCTTAAAAATATTTTATTTCTCTGAAACACAAAATCGATTTTTAGCGGATGCTAGGCCATAAAACTTTTCCAACAGCACATGTTTGTTTGTACTCAGAGTAATTATTGGGGCGTAAACACAACCCTTTTTGTTCATTTGTTATGATGAACCTCAAAGGAATTTTTTAAAGAAAGAACTTTTCATTTTAAAATTTGAGGAAACATTTTTTTTGGCAATTTGTTTTCGCAAGATTGGACAATTTTTTTTACTATATATAAGTTTTTTGGCAAAACTTTAGAATTTTTCCTAAAGAAAAATTTTCTAACAAAATTTAGGATTTTTTTATCTACAAATTTTTGCCAAATTTGTATTTTTTACCAAAATTTTATTTTCACAAAAAAGTTAATAAATTCCGCACATTTGAGCTTTTTTGCTAAATTTTGGATTTTTCTGCCAAATTTATGTTTTTTACATTTTTTTTTTGTCAAAAACTATCTTAAGCTACTTGTGTACTATGATTACATAATTAAGTGTCAATAAACCTTGCAATTTTACTCAGCCAATTTAGTCATGGAATTACAGTGCTGAGTCCTATATTTTGTACAAGGGAAATGGCATAAAGCCAATTTTAATCAACTACAATGTATTGTATGAATGTGATAAACTGACCTTTCAATTATCAAGACAAAATATCTATTTTCTTGACTATACACCTATTTGAATAGCAACATAGAAATGTAATTTGAGTGATATTGGTGTTTTTCAAATGACCATAAACTTTCATGTAAACAGGAAGTGAATAAAATATACTCCTCGTTTATAATCAAAACACATTTTTAATGACCTTCATTAAATCTGAAAATACATTTCTAGTATCAAATAAATACATGGAAAGGGTAGACGATTACATAGGTTATCCATTTCACCAAGAGAATAGTACAAATGAGAAATCCATTGAAGATCAAAATCAGTGACTTTGGTTAATGTTAAATTCAATCTTTCTTTGGTAGAGGTGAGCAGCTGAGACATCAAGTACCCCACCCTTTTCATATATTTTGTTGATCAAAAATATATACCCTGTCATATATCAATTAACAAAAAACAGACTTTGGTCCGACTCATCATCACGTTCATGTTTAGTAGCATAACAGTCACAATAATCACACTTTGCTTTTCAAATAAATTCGTCATATTCGTCACACCTTAAACACTTTCCTCTATTTACTGTCTTTTATGTCCTTCATTATGAAGAAAATTCAATACTTATAAAATATGTTTGGTCAGTTAGTGGCACCTCAGAGAGTTACACTTTCAGTTTTATATAAATGAAAAACTGATGAAAAGTTACATTGACGTTCCCTCTTAAAGGACGCTGACACTATGGAATTTCTTTTGATAATTGTTATCATATATCATGTATACAAACCTTTGAATGTTAATTAGGTGCAAATGTCAAAATAATCGGATTTATAGCTAGCATCAGTGATAATACCACATTGGAATAGAGATTAATGGGCTTGACAAATAGCTGATTCATTTACGACTGTGGTTTAACCAATCAAAAATAAATACTGACATCTGATTAGTTTTAGTTACTTATGATATAATCAAGCAAGTGATTATATCAACCTAATGATATATTTAATTTGAATTTCTCACCCTTTTCATATATCATGGAGCATGAAATAGTGACCTATTCTTCCAGCGGTTCATCCCTACCAATCATTACATAGTAAGTGCCCCCTCCGTTCTAACCACTACACCATCCCTATCCTCAAAATAGGAAGTGTCACTGGGATAGTGTAACCTTTGCTTGTCACGGAAGCTTTTCTAATAAGTACTTGCTTGTTACATTCACAGTGTTTTGTTCGGTGAGGAGCTTTAATTACTATGATTTCAATCCGCTGCAGGCATATGGATCTATATAGAATAAGAATAAGAGTAAGAATATCTATTATTCCAACCAAGGACCCTTGATGGGCAGCATGATATGTACACATGAAACAATACATCATGATTTGTAACAGAAAAAAAAAATTTTTATACATTGAAATGAAACATTAAAAAGTTCAGACATGTTATTATCACCATTCTATATAAATCACATACATTTAATTCCAAGCTGGACCAGAACCATAAAATCATTAGTACAATTACCATTGTTATTACATACATTAATCAACATTTCGTCTAACATCTAGACATGTAATAATATAGTTCCCTAAATATTTAAGTACAGACAAATTTTCATTAGTAAATAACCAAACAAAGTTTGCCTCATTTGAGAGATATGAAAAATTAGGACAAATACTGTTTATCTCCTTGGAAAATATCTCCCTATCATCTTTGTATACTGGACAACTAGTAATAAAATGTTGTTCATCTTCAACCAGATTTAGAGTACATTTCTTACAAAGCCTTTGGTCTCTTTCTATATATAAAGTTTTATACCTGTCTCTTTCTATTTTGAGATCATGGGCACTGATTCTGATTTTACATATGGCACTTCTCAATTGAAAATTGTTTAAAGATAGATACATTTCTTTAGAAAAACAAGTTTTTAGTTTGAAATAAGTATCTAATTCACTACTCTTTGTATCTGTTCTTTTTGTGTTACAAAATTTTTACAAAACTATTACAAAGTTTTAGTTTAACTGACTTGATAAACAAGTTAAGCTTTACCTCCAAATTATGAATATTCAGCTTTTTAAAAATGTAATTTATGGATGAATACCAGCATTCAATATTATTAGTAAACATGTTTTTGTTACACATATAGGTATCGTACAGTAAACCATCTTAATTGTTTTGGCTTTTAACTAGCTGTCAGTAACTGCGAGTACTCTCAAATCGTACTTTCTTTTTAATTTGACCTGTTGATACTATTTGTAATGCTTTTTTGTTATTTAATGTTAACATGGATCTTGTTTATATACCAGCTTTGATTATTTGGTACTATGAACATCAAAATTATTTCATTTCTCCTTAAAACTGTTCTTGCACCTGTACAGGAAGTTTTATCTAGCACTTATTGTATAGTTTTATTGTTGATATTCACCCCATATGTACCAAGTGTTAGATTAGTTTTATTGATATTAAAGAAATTTCTTGGTATTCCTAAACGTGTATAATATGACGCAGGTTTTTTCAAAAGTGATTATTTTCTAGATATTGTTTAACATTTCACAGTGGTATCATACTTTAACTTTGTTTAAACCTGTTTATTTACTTTTGACCTTAATTATTTATCCCTTATAATTTTTATTAACTATGTTTTGCATTCAGGTATCACAGATCAAATTTATTCGTTCATTGTGTGTTAATTTACGTTTTTTGATTGAGTTAAGCCTTCCAATTGATATTTTATAGTGTGTCTTTCTATGTTGTGATGTTATACTATTGTTTCAGAAAAGGGAGAAGGTTTGGTATCATTAAAACGTTTAATCCCGCTGCAAATGTTTTCGCCTGTCCTAAGTCGGGAATCTGATGTACAGTAGTTGTCGTCTGTTTATGTAGTTCATACGTTTTTCTCGTTTCTCGTTTTTATATAGATTAGACCGTTGGTTTTCCCGTTTGAATGGTTTTACACTAGTAATTTTTGGGGCCCTTTATAGCTTGCTGTTCGGTGTGAGCCAATGCTCTGTGTTGAAGGCCGTACCTTGACCTATAATGGTTTACTTTTATAAATTGTTACTTGGATGGAGAGTTGTCTCATTGGCATTCATACCACATCTTCCTATATCTATTTACATATTTTTTATTCTAAACCAATATTTCATCACTGATAATACAACTGAAAAATATAATGGGAATCTACCAAGCTCTCCTAGCACAGCTAGGTTAGCACATGGTTAGAAGACTTTTTGTTTACACCATATATATAATTTATATATAGATACCAACCTATACATAATTCATATATAGATACCAATATAATGTTTAAATTCTATT